TATATATATATATATATATTTTATATTTTAAAATATTATTTGTATAATATATATATACACACATATATATATATATATATATGAAGATATCTAGATATTTATGTATTTTTTATTATTTATTTGCTTGATCATACAATGTAAGTTAATTTGCTTCTCGCTCTTAAAAAAATATGTTATCTTATTTCTGTGTGCTCGTCAAAAGAAAGTAAGTCATACAGGTTTGGAATGATTTGGACAATTTTCATTTTTGGAGAACTATCCCTTCTACTGATCTCATAATGCCAATCTGATGTTAACACCCACAGTTAGACACAAGATATGGCAGGCATCATATTTGGTTCCTCCTATCAGTAGGAATGTAAAGAGTTAACAAACCTGCACTTACAATTAATTGAACATGACAATTTCCCTTTTGTAGTACCACTGGGTAATAAAAGTAAATAGTCTGTTTTATTCTTGTATAATAATAACAATAAAAAAAAATGTCCAGGATGCTAATAAAAGTGCCTAGTGTCCTCAGTGTACAAATAGTTACCACGTTATTTCTTATTATATTTCTGTAAATTTGAAAACAACATGGTCGCAACCCAGCAAAGCTGTTTCAGAGGCTATATCTGGTGACAAATCATGACAGAACAAGATTGATCAAAACAATTCCAACCAAGACAAGCACAGCTTCACTTACACTTACCCCTTATGAATTTCAAAACATTTAACATGAATTAAAGGACATTACCTGAGCTACATGTTTTTAAGATATTGATATGCCGTTGTGCTTTCTTTCACCCATTAGTCAGGTCTAATAGTCTCATGCATTTGTTCTCCACTGATAATTTACTGCTTTCTTTGTAAGTGACAGCAAGGACAGCAGCAGCAAGCTGCCCACACGGTGACAGTTCAATACAATCCAAATACATCTGGTGAAGCCCAACCGTCACTGCAGTTCTGACAGCTATTTCCTCCACATGATGAGTTTTACTTTCCTTGGTGGATGACTCACTGCTCTTGACAAGTGAAAACAAATCTTTTTTCTGGTTAACCATATGATTTGCATTCAAAATCCAGTGCGAGAGTCATAAGTGCTTTGTCTTCCTGAATCAACCCCCCTTTTGATGTAATATTTCACATTATACTACAGTTTATTATGATATTTAATTTTAATTGGCTAAATGGTGCTCCAACAATTTTAGAGTTCAGCAGCACTGGGACTTTGCGGTGAGTCATAACAATGGAATACACTGCGTAAAATCACATGTCATTTTCAAAAATGTTTTATGGAGTTATTGTCAACTGAAAGCGTTTTGGAAAGATGTTTAGCTGAAAAACTGGCATGGTTCTAAACAGCAGCACAATCCATTGAACGCACTGAAATGCTGTCTCTCACAGCCTCATTTTCATTCCTGTCAAAAGTTTAATATGGAGCTTGCTGGTAGGGTTATGTTCATTAACTTAAACTAAAACCATAAAAAAACATTTTCATTACTTGGATGGATGGATAAATAAATGAACAACAAACATTAACTGAAATAAAACATAAAACAAACTTGGATCAACTTGAGTAAATGACGACAGAATTTTTTATTTTTATATATATATATATATATATATATATATATATAT